CATCTATGAGCGATTCTGGCAGCAGAGGGGTCTTTGTGGGTTGCCTGGATTGCACGTTACCGCATTAAGCAAGCCTTTGTGTGGGATCTAAAGGTGACAGCGGCGGGGACTTGTGTTTGGAAGCGTCTGCTCAGATGCAAGGACTTGGTGAGGCATTTTGTCTCCATTGTTGGCTCTGATGTGCAGAGGAATGGTATGACAATGAACCCTTACTCTGTCGCAAGGGTCTAGGAGTCGTTGAGGCAGAGAGACAGTGAGGTTCCCTTGTTCAAACTGGTTGGGACAAGAACATTATCCCTCGGCATGGGTTTATATTATGGTTGGTGATCAAATTTGGAAGTAATTTTAAGATTTATTATGAAATGAAAAAAAAATTCTATTTTAAGTTTTCAATGATTTCTTCTTATGACAGCATATAGAATGCAAAACTTATCCATGACATTTACCGAATGTAACTTATATAGAAATTAGATCCAATATTTTTCAAAATTTTGTAGGAGGTCAACAGATAGAGGAAAAAGATCACATAATAATCATCGCAGAGCAGTTAAAGCTTATGAGATTCTAGCGGTGAATAATCATCGCCATGATCGATGTTTTCCTCTCAATCTACCCTTAGGAGGAGGAGGAGCCACCACACAACTAGAGCCATAAACTTGCTTTGGTACAACTTGAAAGGAGAGCTGTCATCAAGTAGTAACAGCTAGAAGTTCATGATGCATGGGAGTTTGCAGTGCACCATATTGAATCACTGAACCATGGCCATTTTATTATTGTTTCATCATCCTACTCTCAACCTGAGTAAACCCATCGTTTTCTTGCTCAGCAGAATGGCTAATTGGAAGGGTAGGCATCCGTGGGTTGGTTTAAAGAGCGACAATAGAGCTGGAAATTGGAGCAGGGGATGTTCACATATTAGAAAAACACCCTACAATGGCGGCCAATTGGGGTCATTTCCTTCCTTCTTGTATACTAGGTATGGTCAAGAAGCTATAGTCACCACTTCGAAGAAAGAGTCATCGTTTTAAAAAAAAACTTCTAGAGCTCTTAACTCTCCACATATTGCAATACTTCGAATTAATAAGCAACTCTGGCAAACCATCAGGTGTAGGAAATCTATGCACATAGAGGTTTATCAAGACTAGGGATGGCAATTTTGCTCATACCCATGGGTATTTTACTATCCAACCCAATTGGGTTGGGTATGAAATCCAAATATATCGATATGAGTAAAGTTTGATGGGTTTGTACCCATACCCATTTACTTTGGGTTGGGTTGGGTTTATAACAAATGAATTTGGGTTTGTACCCATGCCCAAATACAAATTACAGTTTGATACCTAAACTTAATAGATATGCATATTTAGTACCTAAATTTAATTTTTTTTTGCATATAAGTCCTCAAAATATCGATGGAAAATTACGTTTTGGTACCTAAATTTTTTTGGGCTTACATTTTGGCACCTAAAATTTTCAAGTTTTACAAATAAGTCCAATTTTGCATGGGTAGTTAAAACACTCTCAAGTAAATGGATATCCATATCCAACCCATACCTATTTATATAATATCCATATCTAACCCAAACCCATATACAAACACCAAACCCATACACACATCACCCAAACCCTACCCATAATAAATGGGTCTACTTGGGTTTGGGCAAAATTACCCATGGGTGGGTAAATTGCCATCCCTAATCAAGACCACTTGCAATCCTCCCCAAATCCTCTTTCGAGACAAGTTCCATAAGAAAATTAGATAACCTAATCCACTAGTACAACTCTTCGAATTTTATTTTTATTTTTTGTTTCTTTGGCATCAGATTTAATTTGGTTTGTTCACTAGTAAATGCGCAGTCTTTTAGTAGCTGTTTATGCAAATTATTATTACATATTACAGTTTGTAATATATTGGTTTTTTACTTGGGGAACAATAAAGCTAATAGACGGGAATGGATCAGGTCAGTAATCTTATGTTGAGTAACCATGAGTAACCCGTCCACATCAGCATGACATCAGCATCCTCTCTCTCATGGAAAGCCTTTAATTTTTCCCTCTTTAATCTTTGACGGACGATTTCTCGCTCATTTTAAGTCGAAATTTAATTTTTTTTACACAGTTAGATCAGATTAATTGTGCTCTTCAAATTGATATCCACTTTAATATATTTTTCGAACAAAAAAAATTGAGCCATTTTTTACCAGCCTATACCATATGGTATTGACTGGTATTGAAATAAAAGCATACCTATGTTTTGAAAAACGTACCATGGTGGTATGAACAAACCAATACTGTAGGATGGTTGAATACATGATAGTAGAAGTATATTAATTGTAATTTACGACTTTTAACATTGTATACCACACAATACCACCCCATACCAGGGTGGTATTGTATGGTATTGTGTGGTATTTTTTGGTCCTGTAATTTGTTCACCCAGAAATTTGTAGATCCAATAGATCATGATGAACTCGTCCCTTCTGTGCAAACGTTTTAAAAAACGAATTAAAAATGAAGAAGATACCATACAATACCACCCCGTACCAGGGTGGTATTGTATGGTATTGTGTGGTATTTTTTTGTCCTGTAATTTGTTCACCCAGAAATTTGTAGATCCAGTAGATCATGATGAACTCATCCCTGCTTTGCAAACGTTTTCAAAAACGAATTAAAAACGAAGAAGATACCATATGGTATGCAGTTGGTACCGAGAGGCCAGAATTTTTTTTTCCTAAAAAAATATTGAAAATTGATCTCATTTTGTAGAGCACGGTGAACTCGTTCCATCTGTGCAAAAAAAATTAAAATCCGAGTTAAAACGAAAAAGATATGAGTCAATTAAGAAAGCTAGTGAAAATAAAAATAGCCTTTAATTCTCCATCTTTAGATCTGGATTTTCTAAATGAAGGGTCCAGATTTGATTATTGATGAGTGCATAACCCATGGTTATGCACCCTATCTTGAGCCCTAATAGACTATCGACGATAATAAGCAATACCAAAACCTAGATGGAAAAGGAAAGGCAAAACCAAGGGAGAGAGAGAGAGAGAGAGAGTAGCGATTAACCGTAGCAACGGTAACAACAGAAGAGAAGGAACCTTCCTCCCTTTGTTCCCCCGCTCCCTCACACTCTCTATATAAAGGAAGGGACGCCTGGCCCCCATTACCGTTCTCCATGGTTAGTTAGTTAGTTAGTTTGCCCTAACGCATCAAGATTCCAAACCCCACGCTCTCTTTCTTTCTTGCTTTCTTTCTTTATCCCTCTTTTCTCTTTCCGATCTGCTGTAATAAAGAAGGCGGCGTCAGCCAGCCAGGCCGATCTTGTGTTGGTTTCGGGATTTGAGATATGATGGCGGCGGAGGCGGAGCAATACTACCACTACTGGAAATTAGGGTTCGGGAACGGAGAAAGATTCGAGCCAACCGACGACGAGATAGTGGGCCACTTCCTCTACCGCAAAGTAGTCGGCGGCGGATTACAGAAGCTGAGCCGGCGAGAAGCGAGGCGAGTCCCGGAGGCGGATCTGTACGCCGACGAGCCCTGGGATATCTGGTCGAAGCTTTCCTCGGTCGCAGGCGGGGGGTCGCAGTCGCAGGACCTCTACCTGTACACAAGGCTGCAGCCGAGGAAGACGGGGGGCGGCGGGGGGCACGTGAGCCGGCGCGTGGGGAAGGGAGAGGGCACGTGGCACGGGGAGGACACCGGGTCGGAGATAAAGCTGGACCTGGTGGTCAAAGGCGGCGGCAGGACGCGAATAACCGCGCTGAAGAAGAGGTTCAGCTACCTGAACCCTAAGAAGGCGGAGGAGCACAAGCGCTGGATCCTTCACGAGTACAGCTGTACCAGCGTCGCCGGCCACGTCCCCGACCGCTCCTGGGTGGTCTGCCGTTTGAGGAAGAACCCACTAGCCAAGCGCCACCGCCACCACTGCTCTAGTAATTATAACCCTACGCCGATCGCGCCAGGTCAGCTATTTCTATCCCAGCAAGAACAAGACCAGCAGCAGAGTAGTAGTATTACGAGTAATAATGAAGACGAAACTCCGTCACCGGCTTTTCCTGGGTATAACAATGGTGCTGCTGGAGAAGGTTACTACACTGACGGTGGGGAGATGGGGAATTGCTTGAAACTAGAGCCTGGGGAACCTCAGCAGATTCCTCGTGTTGGGAATAATTATGATGTTGATTACAATGATACCAACAATAGCAGCATGTTTATTATGGCGTCGAGCAATGGTTTGGGGTGTGCAATAAGAGGGTCGCGGGGGGAAGAGGTAATGGGAATGGTCAATTACAGGGATGGGAAAGAGGAGTCTTTGGTGGCAACCGATCAGAGCGGCGGCGGCGGCGGCGATGGCTGTCCTTTCCAGACCACGTATGGGAAGGACTACTACTTTAGCGGGGTGTCAAACGACGGCGGCTCAATCTCCTATGACCCCGATCATCAATCTCTTTTGGACCAATTGGGCCTCAGCGATCCACCTTCTTGGGTTTAATTAGTAGTGACTGGTCTGAGAGTAGAGTAGCAGCAGGACCAATTTGGTATACATTCTTGATTCTTCATCACCAGTTATGTATGTATGGCAAGCTAACTCTTATGCTGTGGATGTTCGTCAGATATTTGTTATGGATTTTCTACCTTTTCAATAAATAATAATAATAATAATAATAATAATAGTACTACCGTCTGTATTCGTAATTGTTTGGATGACTGATATATAAGACAGTTAATGATAGATAAAAAAAAAAAAGAGGTGGCGGGCTGTTAGATGATTTATTTGATAATAAAGAAATAAGCAAGACATGAGGAATAACTATTACGAGGAGTTCATAAAAAAAAAATGCTATTACGACTCTACTTTTAAGGTCCGGATAGTATAACAACACCTTAAGTGTTGTTATACTAATAACAGGATTCCTTAAGGGTATAAGGATAAACTTATTAAAATATAATTAAATTAAAATATCTCAATTCCCACCGCCGATGCCGAGCACATTCCATCACTCCTTGCTCTTGAGCCTCTCAACGCGCTGATTCAGCTGCTCGATCTTGACGACGAGGTCGGTAATGGAGTAAAGCAGCCAATAGAAGATCAGCGCGGCGGCGATCAACAGTGCGTTTCTCTGGCTCTTCATGATTGATTTCTGGTGGCGGAGCTGCTCGCTCTGGCTGCAGGAGCCGTCGCAGCTCGGCCGGATCTCGTACAAAAAAGCAAAAGAGATGAGATTACCCGTTGGAGCTTCCATTGATTCACTTTATCTCAACAGCTCGGGCTTATTTATCTGAATGCCCTTGATCTAACATGTTGCGTCTTAAAGGATATATGATTTATCTGAACTCCCTTATGAGAATTCACCAATTGGAGATGTTGCATATATTGATAGCTGAATGAGCTTACAGATCCACCTGGGTTTCTGAACTCCAGAGACAGGATAGTTGGACTCTTCGTGTTCTGGGAAGTGCTTACAGATCCACCTGCTATGTACCAAAAAGAAGTAACACTTTTAGATGCAATTCTACTTTGGTACCTAGTCAAATCCTTGAATTTCCTGTCATAAAGGCGGCTTCAGGAGCTTTGACAAGGTAATTGCTCTTATTCCATTAGCTCGCCAATGTTGATATCTTAGTGCTTTTACTAGTGTACGCGTTTTAGTATTAGGTTTTGAGTTTTAATTCATTATTTTTATTTCTATCTTATGTTGGTTTATTGCATATATCGGTATCACTAGAATACTGGATTTGAGTGTCCTGTTTTTGCTAACGGCTGTGTTTTTCGGATTTTTCAGAGCAAACCACATAAAGCAAATAAAAAAACTTCCTAATGCAGACCATAAATATATTAAAACAAATCAGAAACCTCGCAAAGCAAACCACAAATATATTAAAACAAACCAAAAATCTCGCAAAGCAAACCACAAAAGTTTCGAAAGCACACCAGAAACTTCTTAATGCAAACCAGAAACCTCCTAATACAAACCACAAGTCTCCTAAAACATGCTAGAAACCCCGCAAAGCAAACCACAAAATATGTCATAAGCACACCACAAACCTCCTAATGCAAACCACAAACACGGTAAATCAAACCACAAAAAAGCAAACCATAAACGTCCTAATGCAAACCACAAATATATTAAAACAAACCAGAAACCTCACAATGCAAACCACAAAATTTTTGAAAGCAAACCAGAAACCTCCTAATGCAAACCACAAACACAGTAAATCAAACCATAAACGTCCTAATGCAGACCACAAATATATTAAAACAAACCAGAAATCCCTCAATGCAAACCACAAAATTTTTGAAAGCAAACCAGAAACTTCTCAATGCAAACCACAAACACGATAAAGCAAACCAGAAGCTTCTTAATGCAAACCACAAACACGATAAAGCAAACCACAAAAGACATACAAAAATATGAGAAAGCAAACCATAAATCTCACAATGCAGACCATAACATCCGGTGGTCGTTGATCGTTGACCGGTCAACGAAACCTGTTGAACGGTCAACGAAACCAGTTGACCAAACTTCGATGACCGTCAGTGAGTAGATTCCGGCGCCGATAGGCATATTCCGGCCCCGATGACTAGATTCCGACGCCGGTAAGCATATTCCGACCACGGTGAGCATATTCCGGTGACGGTGGCATATTCCGATGACAAAATAGCATATTCCAGCGACAAAAAAGCATATTCCGGTGACCGGCGACCAGATTCCGAATTCTGGCGACCAAAATTTTGTGCCGAAAATAAAAAAAATATTTATTTTTATTTTTTATTTTTATTTAAACATATTTTATTAATGACAATTATACCCATGCTTTGATTTTACACTAGGTCAACTCATCTAATAAAAAGTCATCACAATCCTAACTTCCTATTGGTTAGAGACTAGTGTTGTTACAATAACAACACAAGGAGTGTTGTCATAGTATCTAGTCCCCTACTTTTATACATTATTGATTTCTATTCCCAAAGTTACATTTAATTTCTTGTTCACAGATTAGGCATATTGAGTCTTGAAATATTATTTCCCGAAAATTTGCAGGATTCAGTAGATTATGATGATTGATAATTAGTTCCTTCTAAGAAAAAAAATTTAAAATTCAGGGACCTCCTACGTAACTTGGGTATAATTTCAAGTTAGTTAACTTGTATAGATCTAAACCGTTAAAATCGATCAAATTTATTTTAAATCATTGATTAAAGAAATAAAAAATAAAAAATAAGGAAAAAATAATTGGCAATAGGGGGTTGCCGGTCACCACCCACTTAACTTACCTTTCTTTGTTTTTTTCTTTCCTTTTTCACATTTATTTGCTTTCCTTATTTGATCCTTTCCTTATTTTAATTAGAAGCCTTACGTAAAGCTTCCGTAATGACTTAGCTCTTTACGTAACACGACATTAATACTCATTACGTAAGGATTCCGTAATGGCATTTTACAACTGTTATGTAAAATACACATTCATTACGTAAAGGTTACGAAATGATAGTTATTTCTTACATAATAATTAAATCGGAAGCGTTACGTATGGCTTTCGTAATGACTTAACACTTTACGTAACGTGAGGTTAATACTCATTACGTAAAAAGACCTTCCATTACGTAAATGTTATGTAACGACAACTATTTCTTACGTAACAGTTAAATCAGTAGCGTTACGTAAGACTTCCGTAATGACTTAACATTTTACGTAAGGTTAATACTCATTACGTAAAGACACATTCTATTACGTAAGGCTTCCGTAATTATCTTTTACAACTGTCACGTAAGATTACCATATGTTACGTAACCATTACGTAATGCCTATTGTATCTTACGTAATGCGACTTGTGAAACCTCCTATCGCAAGTAAAAAAATTCAAGTTACCTTAGTTCAAGTTATTGTAGGAAATCCCTAAAATTTAAGTGAAAAACAAAAAGATGGTAAGTAGTGGTACCATGGTGGTAACAACTGGTACGAAAAAAATTCCTCGAAATATATTAATAATGTATATCATTTTGTACATCACGACGAACTCATTCAATGTCACCAAAGGTTTCTGCGACGAAAAATTTGGTCCTTTGGTGACGAATTCTTCCATCGCTAAAACCTCGATTTCTAATAATGGTTGTAAAGATAAAAATATTTCAACATAAAATAATGGAAAAAATATAAATACAAATAAAGTTGGAGTAATAACATATGTGAGTATATGTAGATTAAGCATTAGGTATGTAAGATTTATCGAATATCATTTGTCAATTTGAATTTTCCAAATTAATGATGCCAATAAATTTCGCACAAAAGCTTTTTATCCGTTGATTCATATTTTTAATATACATTTTAAGATCTCCATTATAATTATCAATGTCATATAAACTGTTTTTTATCAATGTAACTGTTATCAAGTAGTACAAAGGTTATTTTGGACTCTTTAGTAAACTATTGAGTACCCCAAATCATTTAAAAATATGAATGCAATGATTAGCAAGCATGTTATTGAGTGGGTCCCGGGACCCGCATTGATTCGGTATTAGAACATAAAATATAACAGTATTTGTACACAATTCGTAATACTCAAACCTGACACTACATATTCACTAGTTTTTTACTTGTCCACCGACAGATTGTAGAGAACTTTGTGACACACATTAACCTTGCATTATGTAAACAACTCTAGATTTTACATAAAACTGTATCTCTAATTTTTTATTTTGATAATTGAATTCTCCATCCTCAAGCAAAACTCAGTCGACAAACTCCAAAACCCGTTATTATTATTTAAATATTAATAAAATATGTTTTTCTTCTGGTTTTTACGTCGAACCCACCTTAATTAAAATCATGGCTACAGAACTGAATTCATCCTACCAACTGGCATGGTCCATTAAACCGTACCGTACCGGCGGTTCAACCACAAAATACCAGTACCGGAGGCTAAACCAATAGGCGGTATTTAACGGTACTAACGGTTGAACTACGGTGAAACCACAATTTTGCCATAAAATACCCTACCGCTTACTTTTCTGGTACGGTCTCCGGTACGGTTTCATGGACCATGCCAACTGGTTGGGTAAAAGCTAGTTTTTACTAAAGGTGTATTCATGAAGAGAATTTGGAGTAAAAATACTGTAATTATAATAATTTCATGATATGATATTGACATGATAGTGGGGAGATTATATTATAAAGTCTTAAAATAGTAATGTAATATTGATAAGAGTGATAAAATAATATGAAATTTTATGTTTGAGAAAAATAATTGATGTCATCATACTGGGAGCGGCTCCAGTGCATAATCTATAGATGCATAGCCATGCACGATCGTATACTTACTATTTACGAAGGCTACTAAGTTTTCCCTCAAATAAAATTAAAGGGTTATATCTTTTTTTTTAATTCAAAATTAAAAAAAAATGTACAAAAAATCATCTTAATTGTGCTCTTCAAAATGAAAACCACTTTGATATGTTTTGGAGAAAAATAATCGAGACTTTTATTATCAGTTATACAATGTGATACCACTTGGTATGAACATAAGATGATCCCACGTGGTATGAAAGTGTATCATTGTGGTATGAATATATCAGTGTATGATAATTGTATACATGATAGTAGGAATATACTAATTATCATTTACCATATTTCATTATCGTGTGCCACCAGTGACCACCCTATAAAACGAAGGTGGTACTAAAGTGGTAACGGGTTGATAACGAGTGGTATGGGCGATATGAAAAAAAATTTCTCGAAATATATTGGAAGTGGATCTCCTTTTATAGATAACAAAGGACCCGTTCAATCTGTGCTAAGAAATTTGAAATCCGAGTTAAAACAATAAAGAAAAAAGCTTATTAAAAAAGTTAGGAAAACTAAAAGCCTTAGAGCCGACCCCACATCAAAACAAGAGCCTAGACATGGTTATGCAAAGGTAATGAACTCTAGGGTTATTGACTATATCTTGAACCTATCATACCACTATCATATCATGATATAATATAGTAGTGATAAGATTACAACAAACATAGTGGTAAGATCATGATAGGATAATGATAAGATCACAACAAACATGAGTTTTTAAAGAGAAATATTTTCTTTTGATTAAAACATAAAAAATGGATATCATTGTACATATTATAATTAAGGGTGTGCCTATGGTGACATGCATGTCACCGTAACTTGCACTTTTCGGTCGACCTCAATTAGGATTAGGTCGACCTAATATGTTGTTTCAGTGTAAAAACAGTTTCATGGTGCCGACTTTTGAGATTCATATCTTACAATTGGCTCGATGGAAATTGGAGATTAATGGCTTGTCTTGAAGCTGGAGTGTCCCTCTACATATTGAAGTGCTTGGGAGCTCGATAGAAAGTCCATAAGATCATTTTTGAACCTAATCAAAAGGCTATACCAAAACTGGGAAACTGTCGGAAAATTGCTAAGTCTGAGAAATTGTTTGTGAAGCCTACATTGGAGTTCAATTTGACAAGCATGGATGAGATTCGAGTCTAGTGGCCTCTACCACATGAAATTATGTATGTTTGTCTACAAATTCAAGGCATTGAATGAAAAATTGGATATCTAGAAGGCTTCAAACAAAGAACTCAAAGTTGCTACGAAGTAAGCCGCCTTCTAGCACAAGACTGAAACGGCAGATTAGTTCGACCTAATCCTATATGAGGTCGACCTAATCCTATATGAAGTCGACCTAAAAGTGCAAGTTACGGTAACATGCATGTCACCGTAGCAAAGTCCCATAATTAATAATTTCTTTCCATACAAATTATTTTTTAATTGCTAGTCAAAACAAGGAGATATACTATCATGTCAATACTGTCACTTCCTGATGATATGAAAGTGATAATACTTCAACTTACAAGTACTTTGAGGAACTATATTTTTGCTCAAAACATAGCAAAATGGATATTATTGTACAAATCATAATTAATGTGTTCTTTTTAGGTAAATATATTTAAATTCTAAGTTAAAGCGGATGACTTATGACTCTTTTTTTTTACAGTCAACCTGTGATCGGATTTTATTAATCAAACATCGCGATTACACTATCCAGCTGCATCTGATTAATAATGAAACTCGGTGGCGTATCTAGCCATACAAATCTCTCATTCCAACGTAAATCCACATGTGCCATAGCATGGGCTGCTAGATTTGCTTCCCTGTTCGTATACGAACATATACCATCGCCCGTGGCCTCCAAGAGTCTACAAATGCTTTAGCATAATACCCCTGTCTCGTCCATAACGATCGGATTCTGGAGCTTGTGAACAATTGACAGACAATCAGTCTCTAGCTTCACATTAGGCAACTTGAATTATACCGCCAATTGAACCCAAACTCTGCTGCCCTCACGTCCGTCCTTCTCCAGATTCGTGAGGCCCATTGGCACTCAAAAAATATATGCTTTTGTGTCTCCCTCTGGTCACAAAATGGGCAATTTTCCCCCCTTCTCGGGTTTCTGTGACTCACCAGTACCCCCATCGGCAGTATCTCACGTGCAAGCCTCCACATGAACTGTCTCACCTTGGGTGGGACCTCCAACCGCCAGAGCTTCTTCCACGTTTCCTCCTTGCCTTTCGAATGAACCCCATTTTGGATCAAAAAGTCGGTCAGCCACTGCTTATAGCCTTCCTTCACTGTATACTGCCCCAACCTGCTCATATGCCAAATCAACGAGTCCTTCTCCCCACTCCCTCTCAGCGGGATTTGTTTAATGGCTTGCGCCACCTCATGTGGGAAACAGCTCTCCAACAAATTCTCATCCCAATCATCAGTCTCTTGGTCCACCAATTCGCAAACATATGCATCCACCGGGAGCCCCATCGATGCCGACGGTATGAACTGGTTCACCAAATTCGGAACCCACCTGTCCCCCCAGATCCTTACGTTCGTTCCGTTTCCAATACAATGAAACACTCGTTAGACTCTTAGAAGATGTATACATCTTCTTAGAAACGCAACTTTTTTGACAGAAAAAGGGGGATCCAAGGATCACTTAAAACCCGATTTTATCAGGAAATGGGAGGATCATGATAATCGCTTAAGACCTCATTTCTTTAGGCATGCATCTCTTTATAAAGAGTCTAAATAAATGGCGCATTGTGTTAGCCCAAACCATTGAAAATAATTAATACGATTAAAAATTATCAAGTTTAATTTATAAACCATTAAGTACATAAACCAAATAAAAAAATGACTAATGATGAAGAATTGTATGTACCTGTAATCGTTCCAAACATCCCTTGAATGATGGTTAGGTTGGTCGTACTACATGCTTGGATCAATCGGTCATTGATTAACATAATAACGTTGGTTGTATATATCGACGTCGTCACAACCTACGAGAGAATAATGGTTAATTAGTTAGTATATAGATTAATTAAAAAAAATAACAACAACAACAAAAATTTGGTAAAATTAGTACGCAATGTTTGATAGTCATCATGGAAAATACCCTCGTCTTCGCACCAATCATCCATTTTTTCAATAAGTCGGGCAGATATTCGACGGGTTTTGAAGGAAAAACCAAAGAAATGTTTTCTGATAGCAGATCGGACTTATCCGCAACCAACAGAACACTATTTCCTAGACTTTTTAGGGGAAGAGGGAGATGGATAGAGAGATAGTTTTAGAGAGAGAGGAAAGAATGAGTTGTGGTGTGGAAAAAATGGGGAGGGGAGAGGGTTTATATAGCACTCGGACTTTTGTAATTTTCGCTCAACTGAAAACGCTCCCTTAGCTGACTATTTGTATTTTCCGAGGAGAGAAACTGCACCCTCGACATGCGGTTTGAGATCCCAATGCGGTTTCTATGTAAACCGCCCCTTTGGCATGCGGTTCTCAGTCAATGGTGCTAATTTTAGAATTTGTGTAGTTTGGGTACCATTGTTAAAAAAAAATTGTGATATTTATGGAAATTTTCCAATTCTACGAAGCTTGAACCTAGTCTAGACTTTGAAAGCAGGAGTCTCCTTTCCTCTAGGGATGACAATTATAGCCGTAACCGAGGGTATCCGACCCTACCCAACCCGGTCAAGGAGGGGAATTCCCGCATTGACTGGGTATGGGGCGGATACGGGTAATACCTGCAACGAATCTTGTGGGGATGGGGCGGGGATGGATTTGAGTGCCCCGCCTCATACCCATACCCATATCCGTCCCGTCATTACTTATGTCTTATAATTGTAACATATAACTACGATGTAATCTACCAAAAGGACTTAAGGGTTATTGTAAAACAAAATAAGGACTAAAAGATTAATTTCACATAGTTAAACCAACCCTAATTTCTTAACAGGCTAACACGTTTCTAACCCTACTTTGGAGGATAACTTGACTTTTATGTGTGGATTTTTATTGTTTAGTAGGTGTTTTGGAGATGAATAATTTGGTGTTGGATTATTTATTGGTATTTTGTTTATGGAACTTCGTAGGAATTGGATGATCTAATTAAGATTTTCAGTAGTTTTTTATTAGGTTCATCATTGATTAGATTTGATGTTTCAACCCAATAGTTATATGTTTTTGTTGAATTCAAGTGTGTTAATTTAGTTATAATCATAATCAGATGTACGGGGCGGGGATTACCCTTGAATATTCGAAACCCGTGGGAATGGGGATGCAATGTCTTCCCCACATGAAGATGAAGAGGATATGGATTTGATAATTGAAAATGGGTACAGGAATAGGCTTAGTACAATTCGTCCCAAACCCGACCCATTGTCATTCCTACTTTCCTCTACTAGGTTTTCTGATTCAATTTGTCTGCTTTCTCTTTCCAAGTTAGCCGAAATATCCTCTGCTTAAGGTAGAACATGGCGGCGAAGGATCAGGCGGTGACGAGGAAGGAGACTGTGAAATTCACATGGAGGATTGAGAATTTCTCACAGCTGAAAGAAAAAAATCTTTTCTCCGACACTTTCTTGGTCGGAGGCCGCAAATGGTAACTTGATCTACTCATGCAATTTCTTCAAAACCCCTAAATCATTCTTCTATACCACCTGAATATTGTTCAATTGGGAGCATCTGGTCCTTCTTTCTCACTGCTTCTCAATGATTGCGCTTCTTGCAGGAGGGTCTCTCTTTTTCCTCAGGGAAATAATCTCCACTATCTATCCATATATTTGAAATTTGCTGATTCGGAGACGATGCCCAACGGATGGAGTGTCCCAGCTGTCCTCGGCTTCAATCTTATCGCCCCATTCGTTCCCTCCTCCACTGTGCGAAAGTGTAACTATCTCCTCTTTACATATACGATGTTGTTTGCACTGCCGCTGGAATTTCCTTGGCCTTCATTAAGTCTTCTGTTTTCTAAATTGGTGCTGGTTCGTGAATGGTGCTATTTTGTTTGATTGTCAGGGTTGTATGCAAGGACGTGTTTATCCCCTTGTCCAGTTTCTGTTTATTATTCTGAGTTAGGATATTGTATTTTCCTTGCAGGGACCAAACACAATTTCAATATAAGGGAGGTTGACTGGGGATTTTCATCTTTTGTTCCGTTGAGAGAACTTCGCGACCCTCTTAGAGGATTCCTTGTCAATGATACCCTCACTATTGAAGCTGAAGTTTCAACTGTTAAGTGGCTCCCAACGAATCAAACTTGATCTAATCCCTCAGTCTTTGGATCTTTCTATCTGTTTGATATCTGGGTTGCTTGCAGGAAGCGGCGGCATTACCTGCAACTGATGAATTGAAAGTGATCGAGGCCGATGATCAACCTGTTGATGAAGCCATCAAAGAATCGTTGACTGAGACTCGTCTGATGGCAAGCCAGGCGACATTGGTGAACCCTCACACTTATTCCCTAAAGTTCCTTCCGGACAGCAGAAACATTGAACCTTTCATTTGCTTTCTTACTTATGGTTTCCACTGTCTTTTTTGTTCAGGTTGATAAACCTTCTGAGCCAAATGGGGCTGAGGGAAGTACCTTCTCACCGTCAAGTGCACAATTATATTCCAGAGATATTATAGAAGAACTGTCAACAGTGATAAACGCTGCAGGCAACTCTTCTACGAATGCAGACCATGGTTCTGGTTTGCTGGTACAGCAAAGAGAGAAATTGGTTGGATTCCTTGGTATGTCACTTGAGGCCATATCTCAAGCTGGATCGTTGAAGGATGTTGAGGACACTGCCCTCCAACTTGCTGACCGTGCAACTGAACCACTTGAGAAGACAGTCCTGGAATACGTGGTCTCAAACCTGGCCAAGTTTAGAGAAGTCATTCCTAGCTCTCTATCCACTATTGAAACTAGCCGAGTTGTCGAATTATCTGCAGCCCAAGCGACCAAGGATCTGGAGGTAAGGCTGGTTCACAGGAAGGGCCAGCTAAGCTCTTTGGAGGCTGAAGTTTCAAAACTTGGAGATGAAGGCACAAAGCTGGATGCCGAAATTCAGCAGTTAGTTGCCCGCAAGGCTAAAATTCTCGATCATAGAAATTCAACTGCTGCCGATTTGGAGAAAGCCACCCAAGATGCTTCCCAGGAACTGAAAGAGCTGAAGAAGCGACGTCGAGAAAGCAAACAAGCCATCGAGGATAGGATGAGAGCCGAAGAGAAACTTGCTCAGTCCAATGCTAGTTGGAAGCTTTTAAAGGAGCAGTTAGGTTGGTAATAGAAGCAGCAGTAGTCTTAGTCCACTCTTCCTCTGATGGATGATGGACGCCTGTCTTCTGCTTGTAAGTTGGGATCTTTTTGGTGGTGCAATTCAACTTAAATGAAGTTATGGATGAAATGTAATTTGGTACAACCCTCAACAAAGCTATCGTAAGTAAGTTCGTAGCATTATGGGTTTTATAAACTCCGAGGTGGATTTGTCTCCTCCATCGTTCTCTTGTTTAAATGAATGTGTTTTGATGTCCGAGTGACCTGTAGAAGCCTTGCTGCCACCTTTCTGCATGCCAGTTGAGCAAAAACAGAGTCCTAGGCACATTTCCCTCCAACGCCATATCTACTCCTCTCCTCCCTTTCTCCCCTGGGAACTCCGGCTCCGTCACAGGTTTCAAGCAAATCAGGCAAGTATACTCCGACCAGAACTCAATTACTGATATTTGCCTTCCCATCGTCCAAGGGCTTCGAGGTATTCCTTCACCACATGCTGGACTCATTACTCATTAGATTCCCATTTCCCCTCCATTTGCTTATCAATCGATTTCTAAGAAATTGAAATATTGGAGAGGAAGCTCAGTCTAAAACCAGAGCTCTCTGTAGCTTAGCTACAAATGTGGTTAACCAGCATTCAATACGTGTCATTACAGGATTGGAAATTGTTTTAAATTAACAGTAGATTTAACGGCTAACTACTCATAACTCAAATGCCATCGTTTTGCTCCTGACTTTCGGCTGGTTCTTCTGATTCTCAAACGACAACGTCTTAACTTCTTTCTTTCTAATCTGCAACTCAACAGGATTGCAGCTTGCTCTGCATCTTGCATTCTGTCACCCCCTTCAAATAGGTGGTACACCTGTAATTCCCAACTTGCACATTATCTCCTTCATTCTGAATCGATCAAGACCCTTTGTAAATATGTCTGCAAGCTGCTCATTTGTTCCAACATGTTTCAGCTTGATCAAACCATTCTTAATCCTATCTCTTGTGACATGAATGTCTATTTCGATGTGCTTGGTTCTTTCATGAAACACTGGGTTCTTTGCAATGTGAATTGCAGACCTGTTATCACAATACACAATGATAGGAAGTGGTACATGCACTGTCAATTCAGAAAGCAGTCTCTTTAACCATTCAACTTCACAAACCAGGTGAGCTAAGGCCCTATATTCAGCCTTAGATGAAGATCTTGAGACTGCAGTTTGCTTCTTTGTTTTCCATGTGAGCAGTGAAGTGCCAAGGAAAGTACAGTAGCCGGTAATGGATCTCCTCGTGTCAGGGCAACTGGCTCAGTCAGAGTCACTGAAACCAATCACCTTTTCTTTAGCTGTGTTGCTAAAATGTATACCCTGATCTGGTGAGGACTTCAAATATCTCAAGACCCTGTATGCAGCCTGCATGTGTTCTTCACAGGGATTCCTTTGATACTGGCATAGCTGTTGGACTGCAAACACAATATCTGGTCTTGTAATTGTAAGGTAATGCAGTCTTCCCACTAACCTTCTGTAGACTTCACCATCCTCCAGCAATGTTCCTTTTGAACTCAACCTCACCTTTGCATCAATAGGAATTTTACAACTCTTTGCATCCAAATAACCTGTGTCCTTCAGGAGATCCACACATTATTTTCTTTGACACATATTCAGTCCTTTATGATCTTTGCTTACTTCAAGACCAATGAAGTATTTTAATGGCCCTAGCAGTTTCAACTTAAATTCCTTGCTCAGAGCTGTTTTAACCTGGTTTATATCCTTTTGAGCATCACCTCCAACCAAGATGTCATCAACATACACAAGTGTAACTGTGATCCTTCCATGTGTCCACTTGGTGAAGAGTGAATAATCAGATGCTGACTGGGAGTAACCTAGCTTCAATAGAAAACCAGTGAGCTTAGCAAACCATTGCCTTGAAGCTTGCTTCAAACCATATAGTGACTTCTTCAATCTGCAAGTCATTCTCTGATTTCCTACCAAGTTAACCTTAAGTCCAAGAGGTATCTTCATATAAACCACCTCTTCTAGGTCTCCATGCATAAATGCATTAGATACATCCATTTGCTCAATTGTCCAATTCCTCAAACTTGCCACTGCTAGAAAGGTTTTCACTGCGTTTATCTTTGCAACTAGAGAATAGGTATCCAGAAAGTCTATCCCATAGACTTGAGTGTAGCCCTTAGCCACAAGTCTGCCTTTTCTCTTTCCCGTGAACCATCAGGTTTAAACTTGTATTTGAAAACCCATTTGTTCCCTATCTCCTTAACATCAGGTGGCAGTGGTACAACATCCCAAGTTTGATTCTCTTCCAATGCATGTAACTCTGAATTTACTACTCTATTCCAAGCATCTGATTTGATTGCCCCATAGTAAGATTTAGGTTCTTCCAAATTCATAATACTCAATGCAAGAGATCTATCACCAGGACTCAGACCATCCACATTTAAGAAAATAGGATATCTACTGCAAGAGTTTGACTTACCATAAGGACCAAAAGTAATGGTAGGATCTAACTCATAATCTTCATATTTACTGGGAAGTTTAACCTTTCTTCGATGCTTACTTTGTTGTGATGCATCCTGGGAGTCAAAATCCATGTCAGCTTGTGGAAGGAGTTCTTGTTCATCTACATCAAAATAGACATGTTGATCATGCTGATCTTGACTTCCAGTTTGCATAGGAGAAGCAATATTGTAGTCATCCTCAGGCTGCCCCCCTTCATCCATGGATCGATGAACCTGAGGTGAAGTTTCATGTAGAGAAAAAGGGACATGAAGAGCAGAGCAGCCTCATTAGATGGTGGAACAGGAGAAGATGTGTCATGTGTGGGTGGTTCACTATCTGCACAGTGGAAGGGCGAAATCTTATCATAGAAAAGGACATCTCCAGAGACAAACACCTGTTTGATATGGATGTCCATAACCTTGTATCCTTTAATTCTTGTTGGGAATCCCAGGAAGACACACTGTCTTGCTCTAGGTGCAAACTTAGTCCTGCCATGGGAGAGAGTGGAAGCATAACATAAGCATCCAAAGACCCTTAGGCGAGCTAGTGAAGAGGGTTTGTAGTATAAACAGTTCAACTGGTGATTTTTGGTTTAATACTGGTGTGGGAATTATGTTGATCACATGTACTGCATGAAGAACACACTCACTCCAATATTGCAAAGGTAATCCAGATTGAAATTTTAGTGCTCTGGCCACATTGAGAATATGTTGGTGCTTACGTTCCACCCTTTCATTCTGTTCTGGAGTTTCCACACATGAAACTTGATGTTCAATAACTTCTTGAGCGAAATAATCACACATTTGGAACTCCTTACTCTAATCACTACGTATGATCTTAACTGTGGTGCCAAACTGATTCTTAACCAAGGCACAGAAACCTTGGATCAACCCCCTAACTTCACTTTTATGCCTCATCAAGAAGATCCACACACAAGAGAGAAATCATCCACAACAATAAGGAAATATTGATAACCATCATAAGAAACCACTGAGAGAGGTCCCCAAATATCCATATGTAGCAAATGAAAAATCTCAGGTGCTATGTTGGTACTAACAGGAAAGGAGAGTTTGTGTTGTTTGGATATGATAGACATCACAGTGTAAATATTTAGATTTGGTTACATCTGGAATAGTTTTAGACAATAAAGGCATTCTATCATGGCTAGGATTAGGGGTGGAAGTTTGGGTTGCGGGTTGTGGATAATCCGCAAACCGCACCAACCCGCACCTATTGTGGGTAACCATACCCACAAGTTGTGGGTAGTAAAATAACAATTTTTGTGGTTAGTGGTTATCCACTACCCACCGCGTTTAATCCACAATAACCACACTAATTATATTTATTTAGTGAATGAACTTTATAATATAATAGTATGTGAAAAGTGCGAGGATAAAAATTAAAGTAGCCACCAAATAAAAAAGACACACCTAATCAATTTTATGTAAGAATTTTGTAGTTTATAAAACACTATAATCGATAGAGTAGAGAATAATAAATTCATTAAAAGTGAACACCTTTTGTAACTTTTATCAGTATGTTTTTGCTTTTGTGTGAAAAAATACAAGATCATATTTAATTGTCATATTTCCATGGTAAAGGAAACCGTACCGGAAGTCATACCGGATCCGCCAGTGGTAGGGTATTTTGTGGTACTATCGTGGTTCAATCGTTGTGTACCAGCAAAATGCCGTTTTTGTAATTAAATAATATTTTTTTGTTAAAAAAACCGTACCGACAGATTCAGGATACCATTTCGGAATAATACCGGAATAAAACTGGAGTATACCGTATATAAATAAAAAATAATAAAATATCAACATATAATTTTCCTAAATTACACCAAACCAAACAAAACATTACATAATTTCCCCAAAATATATTATCCCACTATCCAAACTCACCAAAGTCCCAATGCCCCTTCTAAAAAAAAAAAAAAATAGAAATCCCCATCCCCCATATTGGCATTGATTTCTACCTCCTCTCACCAGATATTCTACCTCCTCTCTCTCCTTCTTTCTCCCACAGCCCCCACCATCAATCGATATCCCACACCCATTCTCTCTCCCTCTCTCGGCTCCTTCTCCCTGCACGCTCGCACTATCAAAATCAATTCCATATCCCCCTTCATCACCAAATCACCATCCTCTGCCTTCCAAACAAATGGAGCGCCAAATCAATAATAAGAATGGAGGCTCTCAAGAGTGACTGTGCGGGAAGGGAGCGCCAAAAGCCGGAGAGGAAGGGTATAGCTCGGGCCTCGTCATCGATCTCACAAATCTTACTGAATCCTGCCTTTTTCCTTCGCCGTTGCCGGGGATTTCGCCGGATTCTTGATCAATCTCACAGATCTGGTCGATCTCGAGCAGGGGAGGAGACTCGGCAGGGGAAGGAAACTCGAGCGGCGGCGTTCTTGAGAAGTCAAGCTCGTCGCTAGAGGCAGGGGTCAACTAGAGAATAAAAGAAGAGCGGCGAAGCAGGACGTGAAACTGGAGAAGAACCGGCGGCTTCGATAGTTCGATTAGGGATTAGGGTTTGGCAGTGGTTTTTTATTTTTTATTTTCTTCATTTTTGTTGCAAAAACAACAACGTTTCATTGTGAATAGCCTACCGCCGGTTGGAACAAAACCGGCCGGTATTTCATTTCAGGCCGGTTAAACCAAAAAAACCGGCCGATACGATAATTCTGCCACTAAATGTGTGTCGTTCTGTTTTTGGTCCAATTCCCGATTGAACCAGTTGAACCGGTCGGTACGATCCGGTTTCCTGGTCCTTGC